CCGCCCCCGGCCCGCCCGCGTCGGCCCCGCCCCGGGCGCCGGCGGACTTAGCCTGTGGAATGGGGACGGCTCTGTTTCCTATTCACATGGTCCATGAATGGCTTCTCATTGTTTCCCTCTTGGTCACAGCGGCGTTTGCGCACACACGGACCTGCCTGCGCTCGGGCCACGGCCTGGGGCACTGCACCCTGGGGGGCTGCGCGCTGGGGGGCTGCGCCCTGGCGGGGCTGCGCGCTGGGGTGGCTGCGCGCTGGGGTGGCTATACTTTGGTGGGGCTGGGGGCTGGGGGGCTGCGTTCTGGGGAGCTGTGCCCTGGGGGGGCCTGCGCCCTGGGGTGGCTATACTTTGGTGGGGCTGGGGGGCTGCGTTCTGGGGGCTGTGCCCTCTGCGCTCTGGCGGGGCTGCGCTCTGGGGTGGCTATACTTTGGTGGGGCTGGGGGCTGGGGGGCTGCGTTCTGGGGAGCTGTGCCCTGGGGGGGCCTGCGCCCTGGGGTGGCTATACTTTGGTGGGGCTGGGGGGCTGCGCTCTGGCGGGGCTGTGCCCTGGGGGGGCTGCGCTCTGGCGGGGCTGCGCTCTGGGGTGGCTGCGCTTTGGTGGGGCTGTGCTGAGGGGGCTGAGCCCTGCGGGGGGTCCTGAACTCTAGGGGTCTTGGCTCTGGCCCTGAGCTGCCCCCTCCAGCTCTCTTGCTAGAGGCTGGTGCTCTACCACTTGAGTACAGCTCCATGCTTGCTCTTGCTGGTTAGTCTCGGGGACTTCCCTGCCTTGCCTGACTGGAAGCCCCATCCTCAGATCTTAGCCTCTGTGGACCCAGGAGTACAGGGGCCCAGGGCAGTGGAGTCTTAACACAAAACAAAAGTGTTCAAAGGTGTGACTAATCTTCATTTACCTTATACTTGAACCATGCCTCCACTCCAACTTTTTGCTGCTAATGGTAATAAACTCAGGGGCAGGGACTTTTCTGCCTGGGTTGGTGTTGAATCAGGATACTCAGGTCTCAGCCTATTGAAACATCCAGGATTACTGGCCTGATCCACCAGCACACAGCTGAGCTGTACTTTAGATAGGCATCATGTTGCAGCAAATACATTCCTACATAAGAACATATTGGTCTGGGAAGGTGGCTCAGTGGTAGCGCGCTTGCCTTGCATGCCTGAGACCCTGGGCTTGATTCCTCAGCACCACATAAGCAGGAAAAAAAAAAGCCAGAAGTGGCTGTGGCTCAGTGGTAGAGCTCTTGCCTCACATGCCTGAGACCCTGGGCTTGATTCCTCAGCACCACATAAGCAGGAAAAAAAAAAGCCAGAAGTGGCTGTGGCTCAAGTGGTAGAGCGCTAGCCTTGAGCTGGAGAACTGAGGGACAGTGCCCAGGCCCTGAGTTCAGGCCCCACGACCAACCAAAAAAAAAAAAAAAAAACCAACAACATATTGCTTATAGGTTCAGGTTTCATACGTGCAGTCCTCAGAAACTTTTCTAAGTCACCAGCTTTACTATTGTCAGATTGCGTTTCAGATTTTCACTTGTTTTAGAGTTACTTGAATCTTGTTTCCCTCGCTTTCCTTGCCAACATGTAATGCACTTTACCAGCGTAGTGCTTTGTCTCTTTTCCTCTAGGTTTTGTTTGCTTGTTTGTTCTTTGTGCCAGTCCTGGGGCTCGAACTTAAGGCCTGGGCACTGTCCCTGAGCGTTCTTGCTCAAGGTTAGGGCTCTATCACTTGAGCCACAGCATCACTTCTGGCCTTTTCTGTTTATGTGGTATGAAGGAATCGAACCCAGGGTTTCATGCATGCTAGGCAAGTACTCCATCACTGAGCCACATTCCCAGCCTCAAGGATGCATCTCTACTACCTGTACTTCTGCATGGAACCTGGGAACTGGGGGGAGCCCTCCTTCCTGCCCCAGACCCACGCCCATGGTGGGCTCTGGAGTAGAAAATCCTCCTGGATGTGGTTGGCCCTGTTGTCCTGGGCCTGACGGGGCTCTGACCGCCCTTGGGATACTGTTGACTGGCTCTCCTGCCTGTGTGTGAATCCTCAGCGGCCCTCTCTCCCATCCCAGCCTGGCACAGTCCCGAGGATCCAGCCAGGAGTGACTGACTGTGGAGGAGTCCTTCCATGTGGGACCTCCTTTTATTTTACCAGCTCAAGACTTACTCCTTCTACCTTGCAAGTGGCGTGTGCTCCTGGCAGTGTCTGTGGGAGACTGGGGTGCAGATGGAGATAGATCTGTTTTTCCCCAAAGCCTGCCTGAGATCTTGAAGTGGCTTATGAGGCTAGTTTGTTAGCAGGTGAGTAAATCTCTGCCAGGCACTGGTGGCTCACGCCTGTAATCCTAACTACTCAGGAGGTGGAGATTTGAGGATCGTGATTTGAAGCCAGTGTGGGCAGGAAAGTCCGTGAGACTCTTACCTCCAATGAATCACCAGAAAACCAGAAGTAGGGGGCTAGGAAGGTGGTTTAGTGGTAGAGAGCTTGCCTAGCATGCATGAAGTGCAGGGTTCAGTTCCTCAGTACCACATACACAGAAAAAGCCGGAAGTGGCGCTGTGGCTCAAGTGGTAGAGTGCTATTCTTGAGCAAAAGAAGCCCAGGGACAGTGCCCAGACCAGCTGTCTCACACACACCAATCTTTCTTTGCTCCTTTTTTTTTTTTTTGTCTGCAGTGGGGCTTGAACTCTGGGCCTGGGCGCTGTCCCTCAGCTCTTCAGCTTCCTGTTTCCTGGTGGTTTATAGGAGCTAAGAGTCTCAAGGACTTTCCTGCCTGGGCTGGCTTTGAGCTACGATCGTCAGATCTCAGCCTCCTGCTTAGCTAGGATCGCAGGCGTGAGCCACCATGCCTGGCTTTCTTCATTCCTCTTGAGATAAGGAAACTGAGAACAGACTAAAAGCCCCTGGTA